ACATTTGCGAGCGAACTCATGAATATAATAAATGTTTGGAAGGGAACCCTAGCTACCTTCAATGGCATCTTCCCCTTCCTCGTTACTCTTCACCTGTGGCAATGTCGATGGAGTCATATTCTTCTTCTTCTGGTTCGTTGGCATGTTGTGCACCCAAGACCCTCGAGTGCCTTGAGGGAAAGGCATATCCCGTATATCTATCGGCAAGATCAGACACTGAATCTTTGATAGTTATGTATCTCAACACTTCTTCTTCATTACATAATACCTCGATCTCGTTCTTACATAGTTTGCTCAACTCAACAAACACCCTCTTTGTAAAGGTCGCCTGATCTATTCTCTTCTCAAACCTTATTTGTGGCTGGTTACTTTCCGCTTCTCCACCCCCAGGAGGATTGGACGCCTGTTCATAGAGTTTGTTCCTCAAGTTGTTCAACTGCACACCCCTTGCCACAAATCGTTTCCTCATAACGGGTGGCAATATGTGAATCTTGATTCAAATGATTCTTTTTTAACGCGACGACCTCTCTCATCATATAATCCTTTTCATCACGAACTCGTCTATAGGCTTTGGCCATCTTGGTCAACTGCACACTCCTTGCCACAAATCTTTTCCTCATAATGGGTGGCAATGTGTGAATCTTGATTCAATTGATTCTCTTTTAACGCGGCGACCTCTCTTGCCGTATAATCCTTTTCATCACGAACTCGTCTATAGGCTTTGGCCATCTTGGCAAAGTCATCTGGCTTCAACTCTTGCTCGCGGCAGCGGCGACACTTGGCTTTTCCTCTTGGAGACTCCATCATTGGGCTCTTCGCAGTTACCACCTCCGCACCTCTTTTGTTGTTGTTGACCCTCATACAATTCACTTCTTCCCTTAATGCAATAATAACATTTTGGTAGAGTGCTTTGTTCTCCTGCTTGAGATTGTATATCTCCTTATTGGTTAGGCTGATATTCATTGCGAGTAACATATCGTCATTCTCCCTGCTTAATCTTTCTGCCTCGTTCTCTCTACTGCATTGTCCCACCTCTTGAGTTCTCCTCGCCACTTCACCTTGTTGTCGAAGTTCGTTATTAGTATTGGCACGAAATCATCTTTCCAGGGATCTATTCGCATACTTTTGCCATAGATCCTTCAATAAGTTTCCCCAAACTAGCCTAAAAGTTGTTCCTCTCATGTTGCTCTTTCAATCTCCTTTCCTCTTTCTCTACTACGTTTCTCCTCTCCACCCCATCTCGTTGTAACCTCTCCTTTTCCTCCTGAGTCTGATCCTCCTCCATCCTTAGTCACAAAGCTTCACATCTTTCCGAATTTCTCCTCCTCCTCCCAATACCCGCCTTGTCATGGTCAGCAATATAGGTTGATACCCGGTTTGATACCCGCTCTGATAGGAACCCTGGTGCCCGCCTTCTATCGCGGCCGGCGGTCTGACTGGTGCTGAAATATTAAGTGTTGCTAGCAGCGGAGCATTATCGGATGACAAGGCAAAGCTTCTATTGAAGTCGTTGCTACTACGTCCTTGTCCTCCGGTGACTCATTTGCACCAGGCAATCTCTGATGAAGTGTCCGGGTTGCTAACAATAATGGCATAGCCTCAGCGGCTTCAAAAATAGGTAACAACGAAGAAAGACGGTCAAGGTAATTGCAGAAAGAAAATAACAATGAGAAGATAAGCAAGAAGAAAGAAGGAAGAAGAAGGAAGAAAGAAAATAAGAAGGAAGGTAAGAAGTACTTACTGGATTGAACAGGTAATGAGCACAGCCACACGGTCGTAGTACTATTGCTACGCCGGTTATTGTGTGCATGCAAGTCAAGATTCATATACATGTGCTATGACGCACACCAACACACCGTGAGATAACACACGACATGAAAGATAAATAGACACATCTGAGCGCAGTGGCGCGTGTAAGATCATCATTGAGAAAGCGCATAAGTTCTGGCAATAGACCCGACCAGTTTCTACTAGTCGCCAGTCTGGCGTCATCTAGGGTCAACCTGGCAGGGAAGGCGATGAGTACGACGACGCCAACAAATGTATATATACACTTCAAGCCACTAGTACCTACAAGAATGCTATAGACGGTCCAAGAATCACAGTACGCCGGCCGGTCAGGCCTATTCTAGAAAGTCCCAAACCGTGGAGTTTGTGAACGCGACGCTTTGATCCAAAAGAGACTCCAATTCGCCAGAACAGGCTCAACTCTGTAAACGTCAGCGGGCGGTGTATCTCGGGAAAAAAAAAAAAACTAAAGGCCCATAACACAACGCTTCATCGCGTTGTTGTTGTTGTTGTTGTTGTTGTTGTTGTTGTTGTTTTAACTTCGTATACGGGAAACCTACTTAACGAGGTGATAAGAGCATCCCCGATAAGTAGGCACCCGATGTCGAAGGCTCCATCTACTGGTGGGGAGCTGCACCTGCTGTAAATCAGGTCCAGCGTCCCTGTACAATGATGTGATATGTATCAGCTGGAAATCGGGTCCAGCGTCCCTATACAGTGTTGTGAAGCTATGTCCTACAGTCCGAAGCTGTCTGTATATGCTCATCAATCCAAATATGATATCGAACCTAATCCTAGCAGTCAGACCACGCACCGAACCCTGCCCCTGATGTGGTCTGTGTGCATGATGTGTGTGTCCCTGTACAATTATGTGATGTGTGTCGTTGGAAATCGGGTCCAGCTTCCCTATACAGTGATATGTAGCTATGATTCTCCAGTCCAGAATTATCTGTATATGCTCATCAATCCATATATGACCTCGAACCTAATCCTAACAATCAGACCAAACACCAAACCCTACCCCTGACGTGGTCTGTGTGCATGATGTGTGCATAATATGCATGGTATGCTAGAAATCAGGTCCAGCTGCCCTGTATAATGATGTAGTGTGTGTCAGCCGGAAATCAGGTCTAGCGTCCCTATACAGTGTCGTGTAGCGATACTCTGCATTCCGGTACGGTCAGTAAATGCTCATCAATCCATATATGTCACAAAAAGGAGGACCCTATTCCCTAATCAGCCGTATCTCCCCAGGCAAACGAAGGCAGCAAGCCTCCTCCCAGCAATCAAACCGATCACCAAACCCTACCCCTGATGTGGTCTATATTCTTGATGTCATAGTGCAGGATATAGTCGTGCCTCACGTACAATCCATTCTGCAGTCAATCACAGCTCAGCCATATATCTCCGAAAAGGGCAGAGGCATTGATTACTTCTCTACGTAAGAGAAGGATTGACCTCCTGCCCATGAGGCAGCATCCAACCGAAAGACTATGTAGAAGCGCAGAATCAAGGTATCAACCAACCTTCAAACCCTAATCACCCTAACTCCACATGGGGTGAAACAGCACCCCTTCATGCACAAGAATTGATGAACCCTAATTCTCGCGAGGGAGGTCAGCTATCCCACTCCAACCCGATCAAAACGAAACAAACCATGCAAAAAAAACGGGTAGGGGGGAGGGGAAATAGTAATAACTCTCACCTTCACTCCCTCACCCCACCTTGCCATCCCAAACAATCCGCCAATCCTCCTCCACAGCAATGATGCGGGCGTTGTACTTATCTTTAAGTTGTTGTTGTTGTTGTTGTTGTTGTTGTTGTTGTTGTTGTTCTCGGTGTTGTTGTTGTTGTTCTCGGTGTTGTTGTTGTTGTTCTTGGTGTTGTTGTTGTTGTTCTCGGTGTTGTTGTTGTTGTTCTCGGTGTTGTTCTCGGTGTTGTTGTTGTTGTTGTTGTTGTTGTTGTTGTTGTTGTTGTTGTTGTTGTTGTTGTTGTTGTTGTTGTTGTTGTTGATGTCATTACTGTGGTCACTTCAGATGCTTCTGTTTCTTCGGTTGTCATCATCACAGCTGTCGCAGTTGCCATCATCCCCAGTTCCACGTCCCTCTCGCCTACCTCGCCTGCCTCATCAAGCTGATGAGGGTGAGAGTCTTTGTCAAAGTCGGTCGCCACGTCCCTCTCACCTGCCTCGCCTGCCTCATCAAGCTGATGAGGGTGTTCATCGTACCCATCCGATCAAACACTTGAGTGACTTAACCCAATCATCCCGCATATTATTAAACCTAGCAGAAAAAATCCCAGGAGACTTGTTGAAAAATACATCCTGAAAACCTCTCACTTGCAATTCCATTTTCAGCCTAAACAAAAAACACAAATGTATTGTTGACCAATGCACACCAACAGAAAAAAACAAAAAACACAAATCCTAACAGACTTTCATGGGGTCTAAGTCAGGTAAGGGAGCACCAAACACATGTATCATTGGCCAATGCACAAGAACCGTTTAAGTGAAAATATGGGGTGTGATCCTCAGCATCTAAAACAAAGGGTACAGAACCTCCTGGCCTTCAACGTCAAGAAGAAAACGATGGTTATCTCGTAGCCATGGTGTTGGTGGAGGAGATGGATCTTCAAAGTCAAGAGGAGAAGGACAGTTATCTCTAAGCTGTGGTGTCACTGGTCAAGAAGGGTATGGGGATTGACACGGACATCCAGCAACACATCGTTCAACTTGTACCTTTAAGACCCTTTCTGAGCTTCTTCTCCAGGCACCAGCGGTCCCACCGCCGACACCATGTAGAAGGAACTAAAATGGAGCTGGTTGGAGGGTTAGACTAGGGAGGAGAGAAAAATGAGAATTGATACTTCTTGGCCTCCATTAGCCTGGGAAATGGCCCAGCTTTCCAGCAGGCGGCTGAAGAGCATGAGATATGGCCCAGCTTCTCGGACACAGTTTCATCAATCTTGTCATTTCAGGGACGCTGGACCCGATTTGCAGCAGGTGCTGCTCCCCACCAATAGATTGGAGCACCAGCAGTAGGCCTACTAGGGGGAGCTGCTCATACCAGTCGCCCAAGTACACTGAGGCTGGATTTAAAAAAAAAGAAAGAGGGTGAGGGTTGGATGTGTAACCCCAGGAAAAAAAACACTGTAGAGAAAAAGGCCATGTCTCAAAAGTACGGTATTTGATACCTTAGCTCAATGGACTGTACCTCTTGTTCATTAGCAGGAACTCAATGGCTCCTCGGTAGTCACCAGCTTCTTTGCAGAACTTAGTGACCATGGCAGCTCCTTCAACTGACCTAGCCTGCATCACACCACCATCTGTCATATAGTGACTTTTCTTTTCTTTTCTTTCAATACATGAAACAGGACCTATGGGCCTGGTTCCATATCCATTCAGGGAGTGTCCCTCCAGTTCTTTTTGTATAAATGATACAACATATGACACACTCACGCTTCCTTCTTTCGAGACCCAAGGATCCCTGAACAACATTGATTACTCCATCTCTTCTCGACAATTGGCTGTCAGTTAGCCAGTCCTTCTTAAATTCTTGCCGATCTCCGACTACCGTCTTCACCCGAATAGAACGGTCACTGTCGCTGCATCTGGACCGAAAGTTGTGCCAAATACAGCTATAATGACCGAGTGTTCTATTTGGGTGAAGACGGTAGCCGAGGCTATCAGATTGGCTTCAAACCAGGACTCTCAGAAGTTCTGGTCGCAATCAGGTTCCCTCTGCTGTTTGCCCATGCTGTTGCCATGGGAAATGTCTGAGTTGTGCCTTCTTCCCATTTTAGTTGCAGTCCCTCAACTAGTGCGATTTTGCATCTATTTGTTTTCTTCTTTTTCTTTCTTTTTTTTTCAATAGCTTGCTGCTCACTCCTACTGTCTTCACCCGAGTAGAACCCCCAGTCATTATCGCTGTATCTAGACCGAAACTTACACCAGCTTCAGCTATGATGACCGGACGTTCTATTCGGGTGAAACTCAGCGATAATGACTGGCGGTTCTATTCGGGTGAAGACTACCGGGGGGGTGATACGAGAGGGCCCCACTCGTAGATGCCTGAGTTATGATATGGTTATCGAGCTTCTGTTATGGCAGGTACTACATTGAGAGTTTAAGCCTCTTGAAGTATCATGAAATTGAGAGTCTCAACCCTGATGGGCAGCATCGTTTTT